AGGGGGAGGGGGAGGGGGAGGGAGGTGGGGTGTTGGGGGGGAGGGAGGGAAAAATAAAAGAAATAATAAAAAATAGAGAGAATAAAATAAAATAAAAAATAAAATAAGCCAAACCAAAGTCAACTCGTGTAACCGGTAGGAGCAAAAAATTATAGGCAATGCATAACGTTGCCAAGGTTGGACCCCTCTGTGCTCTGCTTTACGTCCTGCCCTTCCTCACAGGTGCGGCGAAAAACAAAACAGGCCACAAAAAGAGCCTTCGGATGAAATTCTCCGAGTTTTAGGTGTACGCAAAGGCTGTTTCTTGGCTCGGGCAAAGAATCGGAGTGCCACGGCTGCCTCCTTAAAGCAGGGCAGGTTGAGAAAGAGGAAACACTGCCCCACTTCCTCCCCACATCGGCCTCTGCCTGGCTGCGAACTTGAGCGAGCCAGCAGGAAAGACTGAGTGGCCCACTGCCTTATTTCCCACAAGCCTCACAAGGAAGAGTGTGGCTGTGTGTGTGTGTGAGGGGGGTGGGGGGAGGTTATCTCTACTGTACAGAAGCCGGTTCAGTGACTGCTTGCCTGCTATCAATGCTGCAATGCTCGGTTGAAGGTCAGAGCATGACCAACACTCGAGAGAAGCTTGTTATGGGCAACCGAAACCGGCAGTGAGCAGCTTTCTCAGCTGCGCCGTCTCTGGTTCGCATCAGCAGGTACAGGTTCCTTGCGAAGCGCAGAGGATCAAACCTCCTTAAAAGGCCGAGCAGCTCCACTGGCTCGAAGGGGAAAGCCACAAGCCAACATATACATCTCTGGTAAGGCAGCCAGATTGGGAAATGGGCCCTCTTCGTGCATGGCCCATTCAGCTCCTAAACAAGGTTTCCTCCAATCACCCTCCGCCTGGGGAGAGAAAGCAGCTGGCATTCTTGGGGGCACCTTATTAATTCGGTACAAGAAACCCTAACACCACTGGACGACACCGCCAGGTCAGCAGAGCGAGGAAGATGCTTAGGGATGATTCACACCCTGGCCGGTGTCTCTCTTTCACTTTTATCACTGGGCAGAAGACACCGAGGTGCGGCCAGTTGGACAAACAGGTTTAAAAACAGCTTCTACCCGTGGGGTGTCAGACTCATAAACCCAGCCACAATCCCTGCACCTACATATGGAAACGCATGACTAGTTTCCTTCCGCGCCTCCCCAGTGGTGGGTTTCAAAAATTTTTCGAAGCTACTCTGTGGGTGTGGCCTCCTTTGTGGGAGTGGCTTGCCGGCAATGTGACCTGATGGGAGTGGCTTGCTGGCCATGTCTGGCGGGTTGATGAACTCCTTCCTCTCTCCTTCCTTCCTTCCTTCCGTATCTCTGTCCCTTTTTTCTTTCATCTCTCTCTCACTTTTTCTTTCTTTCTTTCTTTCTTTCTTTCTTTCTTTCTTTCTTTCTTTCT